ATATATATATAGCCTGACTGAGGCCTAGAACTTTCTATAAACTATGATATAACAATACTCACTTAAAGCAATGAGAAAAATTCAGAAAGTTTGAGTAACATGACATCAAATGGTTTGTAAACATTTATGTAAGCGAACTTGCTGAAACTGTCATTTCTAATAATACCAACTTTAACACTCATGCTTTATAACTATCGAAGTCTAATTCTTTTATTAAATTTAAATGAAACAGTTCTGTATATATAACAGCATTGAAAGTAGAGTCAATCCTGGCCAGTGGTTAGGCATCTTCCTTTGTGTCTTCATTCATCTTCTAGTAGTCGATGCAAAACCATTTTCTTTCATGGTTTCTATTTTTTTGTGTACCTCAACCTGTTGAAGCTTGAAGTGACTTCATTCACCTTCTGATAGTTTATGCAGAACCTTCTGGATCCATTCTTTTTTCGAATGTACAGTATGTGATGCCTAAGGGCTAGTACTCAGGTTCTCTTACTCCTTGTTCCTTCTTGGCTTCTGTCTTCTTGAAAGCCTCAGCCTGTTTTACAAGTGGGAATCATCTGGCTAAACTGATGTATTGGGCTGCATTTCTCATATCAACCTTATAAGACATTTTATTTGCTTGGCCTGAGTTCTGAGGTCCACTGAAGAAGATATCTTAATATTCAATGAGTATGTCATGTAATCTCTGGCTCTGACCAGCTGTAAGACCTTCATAGCTTTGGTTATAAAGATTTTGTAAGTGAGAAAGTAAGCTGTCTTTATGTGAGGATTTGACATCAGACTCGAATTTTATTATTTGCTGTGTTCATGACATCTTTATTTTTCAGATCCATGAAAGTTCTTCTAACCACTAATCCATCAGGACATACTGGAGTGTTTTGTTCTACTATGGTCTAGTGACCAGGTATTTTTATTCTTAACAAGTCTTGGTATGAGTATTTCCTTTCTTAGTGGTACAGTGAATGCCTTTTTTTTTATAAAGAGAAGTTCAACCTCCATTGTAGTAATTATTATGTAGTGCACAAAGATTTTGTGGTCATAGACTTTGAAGCTAGTCTAACCTTACATCGCTGTATCTGTATAAAGGCAGTTCCAAGTATGCACTCATCTTGATGTCAATTATCCACATCATGAGGTGTAGTGAAACTTCCTATAGTAAGGGTAAATTGAAACTTTCTTCATGATAGAACTTTATATCTACTTGCTCTTTGCATCATTCAATTTTTCAGTCGTTGTTGCAGGCACTTTCCCATCTTTCACTATCAAATAGGGTCAAACTATTATAGTTGTAAAACCAGTGTCATTCAACATACTGCAAGGCTTCACTTCAATAAACATGTGGACTTGTGGGCTGTTTTTTTTAAACAATGAGCTTCTTATCTCATTTGGGACAGATGAGGTATTATCAGTTGAACTTTGACCCATAAGTCCTGCTAATTCATGTTTTCAAATGTCTGGTTAGCTCTTTGTTGTTGCTTTGATCTGGATGAGCTCAAAGACTTATCCATAGAGTGTTGTTTCCTTGGTGTATTAACAGCTGTTGATTCCTCACAATCTTGGTTGTGATGGTCGGGTTT